TTGGGTAGGTGAGGTGGAACGAATGCGCTCTCCGTGTTGGTAGCGAATACCGAGCATTCTAGTAGGTCTCGAACACAGAGCTGGTAAGACGAGAAGAAGAGAATGCCACCCCTGCCGTACTGTCTGAACTCTGTGATGCTTTGGTAGTGAGTTGTAGCGGCTCTCAGCTCCGTCTGAATTATTTTTGGATTCTTCATCCGTATGATACCATCGTTGCTTGGGACTAATGCCACAGACACGGATGAGATGCCATTCCGTATAAACAAGCTTACTGGTAATTCCTACGGAGGAAGAGATTCAGACCAGAGGAACGCCCCTGGTCCAGGTGAGGAAAACGGCATCTGCCTGATCTTACTATCAAAACACACTCGCTAATCAAGTAGGACACCATAAGAACACCTTTGAAAAATATTTAAAAAATAAAAAATTCAATCACAACTACTAAATCCTTGGCGAAACCCTCAGAGCAGGCAAATGTCAGTGCTCCTGCCTGTCTGTCGGACGATGCCCCTCTGCCTTCTTCACACCTAAAAACGAGTATGAGCCACAGCGCTCGTTTTTAAAGGTTGACATGCCTCAATATTATTACGTGATTTCGCCTGACTGAAACAGGGCATAGTGGGACATACCTGAGAAGGGTGTCTCAAACTGAGAGTGACAGTGAGCTGAGTTGTCGCTGCGGGCTGACTACTGTTATTTTCTACGTAACATTTAGGTGGAGGTGCGGGGTACGAGCCAGAAGGCATAGATGGCCACTGGCTGTGGCAGTAACGAGCGATGTGTCCAGCGCGAATACAGTGGAAGCAGATTGGCTTATATTCAGCTGTTTGCCATTCAGACGGTTTTGTGATTCGAATAGAGTACGGACGGCGACGTCTCATCTCCACAGAAGCTATCGAGGGATCAGTATTATCCAGGGTGGGTGCAGGGGACAGGATACCCAGGTTAGCGAATTCCTTGCGGACAACAGCCCGTATCAAGGAGACAGCTGGCGTTGAGGCGTCGGGACAGTCGGTTTATTGTCAGCCGGGTAAGTGGCCTCGAGTTTCCGTCGGACAATGCGCGTCACGTCTTCGGTTGTAGAAGGATGACAAGAAGTGGCTTCGCAAGACAACGTTGCTGCGGTGTTGGATAGGCACTGAAACTGCTGCAAATTGCTTCGACTCTTCGCCTGCTCGAGACGGCGGCACTCTTTGATCATAGCGTCGATGGTCGTTACGTTCGTTCATAGAAGCAGGCTGAACGCATCGTCGGCGATTCCTTTTAAAATGTGCGAAATCTTGTCGCCTAAGTCATGTTGGAATCGGCCCTTTGGCACAACGCGAAGACGTCTTCAATATAAGTCAAGTAGGGCTCGGTGGATGTCTGTGTACGTACGGCCAATTGCTTTCGGGCATCAAACTGTTGACCAAACGGGCTGCCAAAGAGGTCGCAGAGCTGTTTAAACATTTCCCAGCTTGTGATTTCGTGCTCATGGTCTCAAACCAGATGCGAGGGGTCTTGTGAAGATAGAAAATGACATTCGCAAGCATACCGGTTCGGTCCCTGCCATATTGCTTGCTGACGCGCTCGTACATACTAAGCCACTTGTCAACATTCGCGTTGTCCTCTCCAGTAAAAGTACCGGCATCATGGGGTTGCGTTGGGGAGATGTACCGTGTCGCTGTCGTTGCCGAAGTGGGTGGCGAAGCCGTATCCTCACCCGGAGCCATGGTAGCAGACTTAAGGAGGCGTCCACTGCGTAGCTCCGTTGTCAAAAGAGCACCCAGCATTACAGTACTTGGAAATATTGTTGCCGCTTCCGACGTACAGCCTGACCCAGAAAAAGTTTGAGCTGTGAAGGAATTTCTTGTGCCGAAAACCGCCAAAGATGTTCCCAGCTTTGTGGGGCTCTGCTCCTACTTTCGGCGGTTTATCAAGAACTTCGCAGAAATCGCTCGGCCTCTAACATATTTACTCAAACCAGATGAGACGTTTGCCTGGGGTCCCTTGCAAGCAGCAGCAATCTCTGACCTGACTACTTTGCTCACTTCCTCTCATGTTCTGGCTCACTTGGACCCTACGGCACCGACCGAAGTCAGCACCGATGCCAGCGGTACGGAATAGGCGCTGTGTTGGCTCAGCGACAACGTGGGCAGCATCGCGTGATAGCTTATGCCAGCAGGCTGCTGTCCCCCACGGAGCGTAATTATTTCATCGCAGGGCACGAATGCCTAACGCTGGTGTGGGCAGTCGCGAAATGTTGTCCTTACTTATACAACCGACCATTCATAGTTCTCACCGACCATCACGCTCTTTGCTGGCTCGCCTCCCTCAAAGATCCCACAGGTCGTCTCGCCCGCTGGGCACTCCGCCTCCAATAGTATTCTTACACGGTAGTGTATAAATCAGGAAAACTGCACAAAGATGTGGATTGTCTCTCTCGCTACCCTGTGGCCGACTGCGATCCTACGAGCACTGATTCTGTGGGTATCATTCTTTCCATTTGCCTGCTGCTTCATCTCGGAACGAGCAGCGTCACGATCCGCATATCAGCCGCCTCATACAACAGCTCGAATCTACACCACAAGACGCTTCTGTTCGCCTGTTTACCTTAAAGGACCACACTTTATATCGGAGTAATTTATCGCCCAATGGTCACGACCTACTTGTGGTCATACCAAAGCACCTGCGCTCCACAGTCCTACGCGAGCACCATGACGCGCCAACCGCGGGTCACCTTGGTGTCTCTCGCACATATGACCGTGCGCGCCACCGCTTCTACTGGCCTGGCCTTCCACGCTTTTACGTCGTTATGTCAACGCTTGCGAAATTTGCCAGCGTCGCGAAAATCCGTCGGGACGCCTTTCCGAATATCCTCAGCACATCGACACCCCATCGGAGCCATTCTTCCGTGTTGGTTTGGATCTTCTCGGTCCCTTCCCAACATCCACCTTTGGGAACAAGTTGGTCGCGGTTGCTACAGATTACGTGTTCGCTATGCAGTGACGCGACCTCTGCCAACAAGCTGCGCTACAGACGTCGCTAATTTTCTACTACGCGATCTCAATTTAGTGCATGGAGCCCCTCGTCAACTACTGACAGACTGAGGCCGTACGTTTCTTTCGAAAGTGGTTGACGATATTCGGCGCTCCTGCTCTACCCAACGTAACATCACGACATCATACCATCCCCAGACAAACGGGCTTAGAGAACATTTAAACCACACCCTGACAGACATGCTATCGAAATACATCTCGGCTGACCATCGTGATTGGGACCTTGCACTACTCAACGTCACGTTCGCATACAATTCCTCCCAGCATGACACTGCTGGGTACTCGCCATTTTACCTTCTGTTTGGACGCGAACCAACATTGCCATTGGATACCTTCCTGCCAGCCACTGCGCAGTCTACTTCTGACTATGCACACGACGCTATTACCCAATCTGACCTTGCTCGTCAGTTTGCGCGCAGCAGATTAATGGCGTCAAACACCAAGACTCGACACCAAGACTCGCAGAAACATTGTTACCACGAGCGGCATCACGATGAACACTTTTCGACAGGTTCCCTCGTTCTTCTTTGGTCCCCTACGGCGACATGCAGGCCTCTCAGAAAAGCTTCTCTCTAGTTTCACGGGCCCATACCACGTGTTTAGACGAGTGACCAACACTACTTCGAAACTGTCCCTAATAATCCATCAACCTCTTGTGCTATGCTGTCCCAGGACATCAAGGCGTATCAAGGCTCAAGCGTTACTTCACTGCTCCTGCTGTAGCCCTGTAAGCTCGCCGGGTCGGCGCTTTTGCTGCCGGGGGTTGTGTTACGTGATTTCGGCTAAATGAAACAGGGAATAGTGGGACATACCCAAGAAAGGTGCCTCAGACTGAGAGTGAAGAAGTGGACGTTGTCGGTGAGCTGCGTTGTGGCTGCGGACTGACTACTGTTATTTTCCACGTAACAATATGAATGAATTATATCAGTAACCTCGACGTTTGGAGTAGGGTCACCACCTTGGGGTGTTTTTGGCTATGACGAAATTGAAATTTTTTTATTATAAACGTGCTGAATGGCATGGACACCCACACACGACGCGTTGAAAAAACTGACCATGGAAGTCATAGTCATGATGCCTTCCTTCATTATACCAAGAATGCTGTGAGGAGACATGTGCAGATATAAAAGTCGGTTTTCATACACCTACAAAGTATGCGACCTCAGTACAATCGACAACCTGCGTAGCATCTGTTGTCGCAGGTCCAGAGGTCACGGGTTCGAACTCCAATTGACAGATTTTTTCTTTGTCTTCTGATCTAGCGAATTTTTGAACGTCACTTTCGTGACGGAAATACGTCGTTGAAGTACTGGTGAATCTCGCTATCAAATAGTTTTTCTTAAGAAGTTCTTTCTCTCTCATGCTGTGTCAATAAATGTCATGCTTCTGAGATTCGTCATCAGAGAGTGCCTCCTGTTTTTGGCAAGATGGCACAACCCCAAGAACTGTAAACATAATGTAGCCAATAATCAGCCGATTTTATTTCACCGCATAATATAAAAATAGTAGACTTTGATCTTCACACAAAGTATATGAAAATATATGTGACTGGGAATGAAATTAACATGCCATTCTGACCGGTTGATGAAATTTTACAAATCTTCCTCTTACGGAGATGTAGGTCTCCATACCCTTTTCTGCGACAATACAGGAATCCTGATGTCGGCAGCAATCACTGCTAATTATTAAAGATATACAAACTGATGTTCACTCAGCATGTGTCAGCCTTCTGCAGAGCTATCGCAACGATAGGCTGCGAAATGTTATTATAAAATGCAAAGCTTTTTCTTCACCTTTAAAACATTGCGTTACATGCAAAAAGACGTATGTACGGAATAAGAGAGGCAACTGCAATTATCACGACAATTTTCATTTTGTGAGGTTCCACAATCTCCTTATGTAATAATTGCCTGAAGTGTTCATAATGCTTATGATTTTAGCCAGACTGCTTTCATTTTTCAGACTTAGGATCGAGACTTCTTTGCACAGAAACATTGCTCTACATGGCTAAAGATGCATCGTGTGGTGTTGTGATGATCCATCCAGCAGGGAGTATGCTTCATGGTTTACTTTTTTCAGTCCTACATAGGATCATTTCAATATATTGCAAAACACTCCGTGGCTACTTACATCACTATGGCTTACTCAGGCGAAGCATTCTATTGTTAAGTTCAGTGCAAATTTGCAACACAAACGCTAAAAATTGTGAACGAAATTGAAGTTGTCATTGCCGCGAAATTAGTGTTAGGGTTGAGACATCGGCTAGTTGGTTCATGCTTACAATAGAAAAACTAAAACAGCGCGAAACTCACTCGGAAACTCAAAAAAAAAAGCATGACACGAGAGCTAGCTTAGAACTGATTTAAATTTTCTCACATATGGGCACATGTATTTATCGACGCTAAAACACTAAAAAAAGCAAATAAAGTGAATATTTGATACGCTTGTCACTAGTGACTACTTTTTGCTGGTTTGGAAATTTTGGTAGGGGTGAGAAAAAGTATGAATGGCGCCATCGCGAATTCGAGGTGATTAGTTCATTGTCTACCCAAACAATTGGTAACAGTTTTTTGTATTTTCTCAGTTCTGGACTTGTCAGTAGAATACGAACTTTACGCGCAATTCAGTACATGCGGCATTTTTTTATTCCAGTCACTTGTGCACAAAACATAAAAAAGGATGACAACAGAGCTGACTTAGAACTGATTTTCATTTTTTTCATATGTGAGCACATGTATATATTGACGCTAAAATACTGAAAAATCAAATAAGGTGATATTGACGCAAGGTAGGCTGGCAACTACAGTAGCCAGCCTCTGAAAAGGACAACGAAGTAGTTCTGTGTGCGCGTGCACTGATGTTCGGTTTTCTGGCCCTTGGGTTGCGAAAGTAAACGCCCTATTTTGTACCTGCGTGCCTGTGTCTTTGTGACTTTTTCTGGTGGAAGTGCTGGGTACGGTAGATGATACGGTTCCCTGAGAGCACCCCTGACGCAAGTCCATCGAGTATCTCAGCCGAGCTTACCCCTGTGCACGTACGTTCCAGCCGTCGTCTCCAGGGACTCGAGCCACAGCACGGTTTGCTGCCTGAACGTCAGAGGACTATGAATCAAACACCGCCTAACGTCACCACGCCAGCACCAGCGCACCTGGTTATCAACCAGCCCAAGACGCCGAAGACATTTCACGGAGCTGCTTTTGAAGATGCCGACGACTGGCTCGAGCATTTCAACCGGGTCGCCGTCATCAACAATTGGACCCCAGAGCGTAAGCTACGCTATGTGTACTGCTTCCTAGAGGACTCCGCGAAAACGTGGTTTGAGAACCATGAAGCAGCGCTTACGTCATGGGATGAGTTTCAACGGCAGTTCCTCAAGGCATTTGCCCGAGAGGACAGGAAAGAGACAGCGGAGCGTGCTATAGAGGCAAGGATTCAAGGCCCTAACGAAAGGGTTACGACCTACGTAGAGGACATGGATCGGCTTTTCAAGCGTGCGGAGCCCTCTATGTCCGAATCCAAGAAAGTTCGCCACCTAATGCGTGGTGTCAAAGAAGAGATTTTTGCCGGCCTGATTCGAAACCCGCCTGCGACACTTGCGGAGTTCCATGAAGAAGCCACTGCCATGGGGAGGGCCCTTCAACAGCGTGCCAGGCAGTATAACCGTGGTGTAAACCCAAGTGAGGTCACTTCTGTCACTCTCGGCATTGACATCAGCGCGTTGCGAGAGCTTATCAGAGCTCTCATTAAGGAAGAGCTACAAAAGATGCAGGTGACTGCTTCACCTGCAGAGCAGCTCTGCATTGCGGAGATGGTACGCGCCGAGCTACGGCAAGCCGTTCACGCTCCCCAACCATCCGAGGCGCCACAACAGAGGCACTGCGTCGAGATGAGCTACGCGGAAGCAGTGCGACGTCCTCCATCGTGCAGTTCAACCAGCGTATATTACCTTAATGAGCGACACGCTCAGCAAATGGAGGTTGGCTTCCGCCCTCGCAGCTCACCGTTGATCGCCGAAGCAAGACCGAGAAAGAGTGAAATCTGGCGTACACCCGACCACAGGCCCCTTTGTTTCCACTGCAGGGAAGCCGGACACGCCTACCGAACATGTCCATACCGTCGTGTGGGTCTCTGTGGATTTTCGCCTAATGCCCCTCGTCCACGACCTGGCGAGCGACCACAGGAAATAGAGAGTTCCATCTCGAATCGTCGCAGTATCGAACATCGGTCACAACAGCCTCGCTCGTCGTCGCCTGCTTGCTACAGGTCACCAAGCCCAGCCTATTCACGCGGCGCTCCAAGACGCCGTTGACCCAGTCCTGCAAGTCGGGAAAACTGAGTTCAGCGACCTCCGGAGGTGAGGCCGCTGACGCTGTTTTTACGGAAGATCCTCCACTACGACGACAGCGACAGCAGCAAAAAGATGTACAGACGCAGTCAAACGTGATGCGAAGAGTGGTGACATCAAACATTGCGGTAACTGTGGACGACGAAGAAGTAATGACGCTAATTGACACTGGAGCAGACACTTCCGTTATGAGCATGGGTCTTGCCTGCAGGCTGAAGAAGGTTTCTACCCAGTGGGCTGGGTCGCAGATACGTACGGCAGGAGGCCATCTTCTTACTCCGGTGGGGTGGTGCACAGCGCGAGTCAGTATTCACGGATTTACGTATCTCGGAGATTTTGTAATACTGCCGAGTTGCTCGAGGGACCTAATTCTCGGACTGGACTTTCTGCGTGATAATGGAGCCGTGATTGATTTGCAACAGTCGCAAGTGACGTTTTCTACGGCACACGCTTTAGCGCGCAACCCTCACGGCAGTTACGTCAATGCTTTGAGAATTGTTGACGATGACGTCACGTTACCACCGAAGAGTAGCGTGTTCACCTTGGTAGCCTGCGACGTTTTTGACGAATTCAACGACTATGAAGGTATTGCTGAGGCAAATATCCCGCTGCTGCTCAAACGAAACGTATGTATAGCCCGATGCCTTGTTCGGTTAGAAAATAAACGCCCTCGAGTTCTGCTGACCAACTTCAGCAATGAGTTTCAGCACGTTCCTAGAGGGACTACTGTCGCTTTCCTCAGTGAAATCGCCGACTTTTTCGATATCGGCACATTGGATACGACTTCACCGCATGCAAAAGCTTGTGCTGACATGGGAAGCCACATTCACGTTAATCCAGACTTGCTAAATTCACGAAAAGAGCGGCTGCTGAACCTTGTGAGGGAATTCTCGGACTGCTTCTCCACAGCATCGAAAGTTCAGCCTACCACCGTTACAAAACACCGCATTGTTACCGAGGAGTCGGCGCGGCCTCTTCGCCAACATCCATACCGTGTGTCCCCGAAGGAAAGAGAGGTGATTAAGCGTCAAGTTCAAGAAATGCTGAATGATGACGTCATCCAACCCTCGACAAGTCCGTGGGCGTCACCTGTTGTCTTAGTAAAGAAAAAAGACAACATACTACGCTTCTGCGTCGACTATCGACGGCTTAACAAAGTCACGAAACGCGAAGTTTAGCCCCTGCCACGAATTGATGACGCCTTAGACCGTCTACGCCACGGCCAGTTCTTCACATCACTAGATCTCAAGTCAGGGTACTGGCAAATTGAAGTTGACGAGGGCGACCGTGAGAAAACTGCGTTCGTGACGCCTGACGGGCTCTACGAATTTAAAGTGCTGCCTTTCTGTCTCTGTTCCGCTCCCACCACGTTTCAACGCATGATGGATACTGTACTAGCTGGACTAAAGTGGCAGACATGTCTTGTATACTTGGATGATGTCGTTGTGTTTTCAACCACATTTGACGACCATCTTTCAAGGCTAAAAAGTGTCCTCACTGCAATAAGGAGAGCGAACCTTACCATCAAGCCCGAAAAGTGCTACTTCGGCTATCAGGAACTCAAGTTTCTCGGCCACGTGGTTAGCCCGGGGGGTGTTTGACCAGATCCGGAAAAGTTGGCTGCCGTTGCCGATTTCCCTCGTCCTGGAGACAAAAAGGCTGTTCAGCGCTTTCTCGGACTCTGTGCGTACTACCGCCGTTTTGTCGAAGGATTTTCGAAAATTGCGGAACCTTTTACAAGACTGACACGGCCAGATGTACCTTTTATATGGACGGAAGAACAACAAAAAGCCTTCGTCGGGCTGCGCAATCGACTGCAGACAGCTCCAGTGCTGGCACATTTCGACGAGTCTGCCGACACCGAGATCCACACAGACGCCAGCAACGTTGGAATCGGAGCTATTCTAGTTCAATGGCAGAACGGCGCAGAGCGTGTGATCGCTTACGCGAGCCGCAGTCTCACAAAAGCAGAGGCTAATTACTCTACCACCGAAAAAGAGTGCCTAGCAGTCGTTTGGGCCATTAGCAAGTTTCGACCCTACCTATATGGCCAGCCATTTCGAGCGGTCAGTGACCACCATTCGCTCTGTTGGCTTGCTAATCTACGGGATCCATCAGGCCGCCTCGCCCACTGGAGCCTCCGCCTTCAAGAGTACGACATAACGGTGGTCTACCGATCAGGACATGAGCATACAGATGCTGACTGCCTGTCTCGTGCTCCTATTGCCCCGACGTCATCTGACACTGAACAAGATTTACCGTTTCTTGGCATCGTCGATGTGGTGCGGATGGCTGAGCTTCAACGTGAGGACACTGAGCTACTTCCTATCATCCAGCATCTTCAAGGAGAAGACGTTATCGTCCCACGCCGACTCTCGCGTGCTTTGACTACGTATTGTCTGCGGAACAATGTTCTCTACAAGAGAAATCTTGAGAGCAGTCAGGAAACTTTCCTTCTCGCCGTTCGAATGGCACTGCGTGAGGAAGTTTTGCAGGCGTGCCACGACGATACGTCGGCCGGTCACTTAGGCTTTGCTAGGACATTAGCGTGCATCCGACAGAAGTACTACTGGCCACAGCTGTATTCGTCCGTTCAGCGCTATGTCCGCACTTGCCGTGACTGTCAGAGGCGTAAAGTCCCACCCGCAAAGCCCACCGGTTTCCTCCAACCTTTAGATCTACCTCGAGCACCATTTCAGTAAGTAGGAATGGATCTTCTTGGTCCCTTCCCTACGTCATCCTCAGAAAATGAGTAGATAATTGTCGCGACCGACTATCTGACTCGCTATGCAGAAACCAAAGCTGTGCCTAAGGGAACTGCAGTTGAAGTCGCCAGATTCTTTGTCCACGACATTGTTTTGCGCCATGGTGCACCTGCTGTTCTCATAACCGATCGCGGAGCAGCATTTACGGATTTCGGCAGAGTTATTGCAACAAGTCACCAAGCTGACGCACACCAACCACCGGAAAACAACAGCTTATCATCCCCAAACAAACGGCTTGACGGAGAGGTTAAACAAAACATTGGCCGACATGCTATCTATGTATGTTGATGTAGAGCACAAAACGTGGGATGAAATTTTGCCGTACATCACGTTTGCTTATAACACCGCTGTGCAAGAGACCACAGACCTAACACCATTCGAGCTTGTTTATGGCCGTCGCGTCACAACACCGTTAGACGCTATGCTCCCCGTAGACCAGGACAACAGCGGAAATGACAGCGTTGACGACTTCGTTGAGAAAGCCGAGGAGGCCAGCCAGCTTGCGCGGAACCACATTCGCGCACAGCAAGATATCGACGCTTGCCGTTACAACCAAGGCCGAAGGAGCGTCCACTATCAACCAGGTGACTATGTATGGGTGTGGACACCAGTTCGACATCGTGGGCTTTCGGAGAAGCTATTGCGGCGCTACTTTGGCCCTTACGAAGTTTTGCGCTGCCTAAGTGACGTAAATTACGAGGTAGTTCCCCAAAGCTCCGACACCAGTTTAAACCGAAGACGTCCACGTCCAGAAGTAGTCCATGTAGTACGGATGAAACCGTACCACGCCCGCGAGTTATGAACACTTCGAACTTTTTCCTTATTATCTACAACAGCGTGGGCTTTTTTTTTTTCCATTGACGTGATCATTTTGTTTCTTTCATGGCCACCTCTAGCATCTCAGTCAATCGACCGGGACGGTCTCTCTTGAAAGGGGGGGGGGGGAATTGACGCAAGGTAGGCTGGCAACTAGAGTAGCCAGCCTCTGAAGAGGACAACGAAGTAGTTCAGTGTGCGCGTGCTCTGGTGTTCGGTTTTCTGGCCCTTGGGTTGTGAAAGTAAACGCCCTATTTTGTACCTGCGTGCCTGTGTCTTTGTGACAATATGTTGTTATGCTTGGCACAAGTGGCTACTTTTTGCCTGATTGGAAATTTTGATAGTGTTGACAAAAAGTACGAATGACGCCATCGCGAAATTCAAGTGATTAGGTCATTGTCTTGCCAAACAATTGGCAACAGTTTTTTGTTGTATTTTCTCGGTTCTGGACTTGTCAGTAGAAAACGAACGTTACGTGCAATTCACTACATGCGCCATTTTCTTATTTAACTGAAAGCCCGAACATACAAGGGTGTCTGCCAGCAACCTCTCAGCAAAATGTAAGTGAGCGGGATGCTGAGCGTGCAGCGAGCCGGGTGTGTTGTAGACTGAGTTCTTGAGGTGTGTTAAGCCTATTTCAAGCTCGACATCTTCACTGGCTAAACGACAATTGGGCCACATGTTCTTACCATGACTCCAACTTTTCTGAATAGCTTGCCGACTTCGTCGCTGCTGCAGTACCCTAAGTTTGACAAGCAGAATTCATTTTCATACCTAGCGGGCAGACCAAAAAGCTTGCTTCTGAGAACAGCCCTGAAAAATATTTACAGAAGCGAATGTTTAATATGAGCTTGACTACTCACAAAGCGTGGTGCGCGCAATGGGAACGTTACGGAGTGCGTTCGAAAGATTCAGTTCCATTGTTCTAGCGTGCACATCCAGGAAGACAACACATGCCATCCCTCTCTTGTAGCCACTGCTTCGTTAAATATTAACTACAACTGACACTAATTCAACACAAACTTATCGCATCAGGCACTAGAATTGAGCATGAATGCAATACTTTAATACAAATATTTTTTTTCGGTGAAGGTGGAGCCTTCAGTCGAGGGCCCCTGGGGTCGTTGCCATCGTAGAAGCTCTGTGGATCAGCTTGAGCTGTTCTTATGGCTTAGAGCAGGACAGCGCAGCCTTCCACTGCTCCGGTCTTGGTGTACATTTTCTTGGCATTACCTGCGCTCGGTAATATACGCCAACAAGTGTCCGCTAAGCAGATAACACCCCACACTTTACTACGTGACATAGGCCTGATAGCATTCAGACACACTCCTGGTGTCTCTTGGTGTCCCTTTCTCAACAATCACCACTGGAGCCATCGGAATTGAGATACTTCCGATCTAAAATGCCGAAGCAGAAAGAACCTTTTGTCATGTAACCTTGAATAATCTGTAACTTTGCAATAGGATGAAGCATGATCTTTCATAGTTTCCTTTATGTATTAAATGTGGCCTTGGCGTACAATAAAAGGCGTCTACGAATTTCCTTTTTTGGAGGAAAGTTATTCGCCAAAGAATGATTGGCTGTTCTGGGTTTTCCAGCATTTACGAATAGTGTTCCTTCCGTGATGCCAGGAAAATTGAATGGGATATTGTTCTTAGGGGTATTCACGAAAGCTAAGGAGACACGTGGCGCGTGTGCAATATGGTAATTCTTAGTCAGCTATTTTTCACTGTTCTCGTTGAGTGTGCACAGTACTAACAATTGCTTCATAGAATTCAGCCTATTCATTCATTTTTATGCTATGAAGCATCGAACTTTTGCATGCAGAGGAACTATAGTAAATGGGCAGTGTCACCCGGTACTATATTAGTTCACACCCAAAGGTACAATAATCAGTAACGATTAGCTTTTTCAGGACTTCTTTTGAGATACTTTTAATAAACATTTGTATGGGTCCATATGGATTTCAAACTGACTACAAGCAACTTTGAAGCTTTTAACTAAGAAATAACCACAGTTTCGGCTTTCAAATGAGCGCATTGCAATAAAGGGATATCATGAACGCTCCACTCATAACAAGTGGTAATTCTTCCGCCACCAATCGAGCCTCATGGCTAGTCATAGAACGAGGCACCCCAAGCTCTCACATGGGGAACTTCGTGAGAAGACTGGCAATGAATATAGTCCAATTGATTTTGGAGCTCTAAACTGTACTGTATATACGGGGCTATACATAATCTGCGATAGTCATTAGTATAGTTACGGCACATATATCTAAAGTGGCAACGTTTCTTTGCTGAGTTTGAAGAGAATTGGTGACTTTTGCTCGTTGCTTGGCGGAATAGACTCGACGGCCAAAGACAACGCTGCCTGGAGCCGCTATTTCTTTTTCGTGTGCCCTCAATGCGGAGCGCCACAATCATGCACTATGCATGTCACCTACGGTTCAAGTAATCAATTTCTTTTTGTGAAACGTTTAAAGAAGACATGTTTTAACCATTTCATGTATCAGCCGTATCAGTCAGTTGATATATTTTATTTCTACTGCTTCCATTATTCTTGATGTTTTCTTTCTTTGTTTTTGCCTAGTACTGTTTTTGGAAAACAATTGCTTACATCCACAATCCCTGCAACAGGGGCCTATATGGCCCCTGATGTATATAGGTATGCTGTAGTGATGCTCCTTAAGTCGTTCACTAGGGTTTTTTGTTTGCTCTGTATACTTTTTCCAGACGACAATAAATGGATTGACACCTTCAATCGATTCACAAATCAATTTGGATGTTTTATGAGGCACGACTGTGGCTGCGTTCGTTTAGTTTTTTCTTTACGTTTTTTTTCTTTCTTTCTTAGATGGAGTGACATATTACGAACTTCGCGTTCGAAACGCTTACATTGCCACGGTTCCTGATCGACACTGTGGAAGCCACTTTTGTCGTGTAGCTGGAAGTGGCGTATTTACTTACCGGCCGGACTGTAAGAATATGACCATGCCACGCTAGTGAATGCCTCATAGATAGGAGCTAGGCATCAACTTATTTTCTGTAATCACTTACAACGTAGCAATAAACACATGTTCCGCATTCAGAACCGTTGCTTTCTTGTCAATCGGCTACGCTTGCTACTCAATCAGGTAATTTTAATTTCGATTCTGAAGTAGCATTTGCAAATGTAGTTATGATGAAAATAGACAGGTGAAAGATTCCGACTTTCAGCTCAATCGTGTCGCAGAACGTCTAGTTTAATTTTACATATGCCACGTTTCCGTCTTAAAAGTGGTCCCCGCAGGGTTGTCTGTGAAAGCAAGCGTTTGGTGTGTAATGACACCATGAACCCGAGCTAACGGTGGTTTTGACCTCTCCTACGCCTAGCTGTGCGTGGTTGAGCCGTGTCCAGGTTAAAGAGGATTCTGGTGGTTTAGCCGACGCCGAGTGATTGGACCTTTCAGGCCCCCAGGCAGAGGTACCGACACCCCTTTGTCACTTGCTTCACGTAGACGCCACATCTGGGCTTACCCACCCAGGGTAAATTGGTAGTCGCTTTATCCTATCTCTCTCTGTCCCCACATCTTCGTCCTTATCTCTCACATTTTATCTCTCCTGTCTTTTACTCTATTCAGTTCACTTCCAAACTTCCTGCCGGCTATTATTAACGCTGTGCGAATAACTTGCCTTGGTCTAGGCGCATCGGGTTATAGTAGTGTTATACGGCTGGCGTCTGCAGGTTTCAGCATCCGTCAACATAAAGCGTCCCTGCGTTGGGCTGCGTGGTGGGTGGACGCCAACGCTTCTGAAGAAAATCAAACAGGCATGCATAGAGCTTTTCCTCTGTTAAGTGATCATATCGCCTAAACCGCGTACGCACCGAAAACATTGGTTTTTTTCAACTGTTCAAATGAAAACGTACCCCAATTTCATGTCATACAAAGTGAGAAAAGTGGCAAGCAAGCCAGAATTGTATCTTCCTTTGTAGTAGCCAGGTGTCTTACAGAAACTCTTGGGGCCGAGTACAAAGTTACGAAAATGGCCGGTGGAGACCTCCTCCTCGGAGTTCGAGAAAAAAAAACAGTTTTAACACAACAAAGGAAACAAAACAATCTTTCAACGTTTCGGAAACTCCGATCACTGTAACACCACACAGAGCAATGAATACAACTCGTGGAGTGGGGTCTAACGCTGATTTGCTTGCCCTGACTGAATCGAAACTTTTGGAGGGGTTGATGAGTCAGAATGTAACCATTGTACAAAGAATCATCATCAGAAGAGACAACTAGAAAACTCCAACAAAACACCTAATACTCACCTTCGCTTCCAGTAATCTGCCAGAAGCTATTCAAACCTACTACACAAAGACTTCGACCAGGCCATACATACCTAACCCACGTCGTTGTTTGAAATACCAGAGGTATGGCAACGGCTCGCAAAGCTGTCGTGGTCACAAAACTTGTGCACAATCTGGAGTACCAAGCCACTATTCCGACAGATGCAAAGAACCGTCACACGCTCACTTCAAACTAAGCATATTTCCGTTTACTATATTACCTGTTTTGTGTTGTGCGTCACAGGAAGGAAGTGATATCAGAAAGTTATCGAATTCATTTCTCTCGAAGAAAGCGTTGTGTATAACGTGGCGACATTCATGAGGGGCAATAAAAGTCGCAAAACTGTGGCGATTGAAATGGAGTCATCGTGCATTATGAAGTACGTACAACATGAACTCAAGACGGGAAACCAGAGAAGAGATACAGACAAGCACTTTACTAAGTTATATTACTCGTGCATGTTGTCTCAGAAAAGCACGCTCCATCAGTACAATAACACGCGAGACAATATGTGCGCTATAAGTAGTAATATTAGAGCTTAAGTTCAAACTAAGCATACTTCTGTTTAGTATATTACCCTTTATGTGTTGCGCGTCACAGCAAGAAGGAAGTAATTGCAGGGAGTCAAAAAATAAGAAAGAGAAGATTTAGTTTTTACGTAATATTATAAAAAAACAGGGTGGGAAAACTCACCACTGTATTCTAGAACGTCCCTTCACTCAACGCTTCACCTTCGCTTGAGAATGCGGATGAGATTGCCGTCTCTAGGCCTGGCAAATCACTGCATATCCGCCATTTTCTGCTGCAATTTTTGACTAGCGCAGCATCATATTCAGCCGAGCAGCGGTGCAGTGCTCAACTCTGTGAAGTGAAGGGTGAAAGTCGAGTCGAGAAGCGTTTCTAAATACGGGGGTGAGACACAAGAAGAAAATCACACCACCACAAACGTCTTCTCGTGTCCTCGATTTCACTCGCTGTCTTATGTGAATGCACAAAGTTTTACCGGACTGATCGTACGCAGCGATCGTACGCAGCGCCTCCAGAATACCATTCACCAACTTTCTTGCTCAGAACATAAAATAAACGTTTTTTTTTCACTCTCTCCGGACGCAAGACTATCGTCTTTTGACGGCATTTGCAGTGTAACATGCATATTTGGAGCCAACTTTTTTTTATCTGCTATAAGCTATGCATTCTGGCACTGCAGTCAGATGGAGAAACTTGACTGAACGGTGCCCATAAGGTCGTAAACACCCAGCGACTAAATGGTTCGACTATTGAGATTCTGTGACGCCTATTTGTTACTTCATTTTACAGCGAAAGCTGTTATGGATCACGACGACGATAAACAATACCTGATGCTACTGTAAGGGGTTGTTCCGTTCAACAACTCCCCTCGTCACGAAACACCGCACAGCTCACGCACAAGCGTGTTTCCTTTCATCAAAATTGATACTGTACGCAAGGTGGCGGTGTTTGCTATATGCGTACGTTTTGTATATACATACCTTTCCGATTCTGTCTCGCTATGCCTGGAGGGAACAACCATAACAGCTCTGCCACAAAACAAGCACATCACAAATACACAACAAATATAGGGCTGAACTCCAGTACTTGCTGAACTGCTTTCCTCACAATTGCTAAAGATTGAAATGGGCAGCAGATATTGATGAGGGCCCACGCTTTACAGCACGTTCTTGATATGTTAAACCAGGAGTTCCGCCTTTAAAAACATAAATCCTCTAACTCAGCAGGTCTATTGTGAAATTCGGCAGAACCCACGTACCTTGGAAGTCCATGTTATCTGAAGCTTGCGGAGGGAAGGTGAATGTGTTGTAATTTTTAGTAAGTGAGACGTTACAATTTACGCTATAGATATTGTTACGCACAAGGAGGACCAGGACGTATACGGCTGAAGGGGCCACTTATTTTGGTCGCCAAGAGAAGCGCCGGAGCGGCCAACAGGTTGACGATCGCAGTGTCATCGTCTTCCTTCTTTCTCCAGCTTGGGGCAGCCAGCATGTTCACCTATCTTCGTTTTCTTCCTAGGCATGCGCAACATTCCTCCCCTCGCAGACGAAGCCCGCCGGGCGAGGTGATTGATTCACCTTCCTGTGCAAAACTCCAGTCGAGTGACATGGACTGCTTGGGTTTCAGCGGCTCTTCTACCCCTTCTACTGAGGCGAGCTATTGTGTAGGTGACTTCAGTGATTTTGTTGAGAACAACAAACGGTCCGTCATATGTGGCCGAGAAGTTTTGGCATAACCCGTGTCTTCGTACTGGAGTCCAGAGCCACACTAGGTCACCTTGATGGTAAGTTACAGGTCGGTGGCGCACGTCATAGCGTGCCTTCGATTTTTCCTGTGATGCCAAAGTGCGTAGACGAGCAATACGACGCGCCTCTTCTGCAAGGCAGAGGATTTCAGCGACTGAGAGGTTCTCGTGCACCGAGAATGGCAAAACTGTGTCGAGTGTGTGCCGTGGCGGTCGTGCGTTAACGAAGAAAACGGGGCTATAGCCTGTTGTCTCGTGCTTAGCGGTGTTGAACGCATACGTTTAAATGGTAGCACGTCATCCCAGTTTTTGTGGTTGGATGCCAGATACATAGAGATCATGTTTACAATTGTGCGGTTGGTGCGCTCAGTGAGCCCATTTGTTTGCCGATGGTACGGTAACGAGTGACTGAAGGCGGTACTCACTCAATCGAAGCAGCTCTTCTGCTATATCTGCCGTAAATTGTCATCCACGATTACTGATGATCACGTGAGGTGGGCCATGTCGGAGGATAACGTGCTGCAGCAGGAACACAGAAACGTCGCCGGCAGTTGCGGTTGGTATGGCCACCGTCTCGCAGTAACGCGTGAGTAATCGACGCATACAATTATCCAGCGATTGCCCTTAGCCGACTTCGGAAAACGGCCCACGAGGTCAATGCCCACTTGTTGGAAAGGTGTGCTTCGAGGTGGAAAGGGCTGTAAAAAACCAGCCGGAGCAGTAGATGGGCGTTTGTGCCATTGACACTGCGTGCAGCTGGCCACATACACTTCGACTGACTGTCGCATTCCGGGCCAATAAAAGCATTCCTTAGCACGGTGAAGCGTCCACGCAGAACCTAAATGTCCGGACGTAGAATCGTCGTGCATAGCACTTAAAATCGCTGTCCGAAGGCTTTCCGGCTCTACCAGGAGGAAACGTGCGCCAGTGGTGGAAAAGTTCTTCTTATACAGGAGTCCGTCGCGCACACAGAAATGGCATGCCGTAGGAGCTGGGTAGAGCGATGCTAGCTTGGTGTGCTTTCGCTGTTCATCTTTGAAACTACTGAGGTCAGGAAACTTTGGTGACACAGAAGCTACGAGGTGGTCGAGGTCATTGGCGGCACACTCTGTAGAGCTCAGTGGCATGCGCGAAAGGCAATCTGCGTCGGCGTGTCGTCGACCACTTTTGTATGAGACTATAAAGTTCTACTCTTGGAGCCGAAAAGCCCAGCGCGGTAGGCGGCCGCAAGGGTCCCGAAGGTTGACGAGCCAACACAATGAGTGCTGGTCGGTGACGACTGCAAAAGGGCGTCCATATAGGTAAGACCGAAACCGCTGAATCGCAAATACTGCCGCGAGGCATTCTTCTTCTGTGACAGTGTAATTCTGCTTGGGCCTACTCAAGGAACGACTTGCGTATGCAATCACGTGCTCGCGGTTACCATAACGTTGAACTAGGACGGCCCCAATTCCTCTGCCACTGGAATCCGTGTGCAGTTCTGTTGGA